TGTGCTCACCCACCCGCTCACCCACGTTGCACGAGCTCACCCACAGTGTGCAAGCTCACCCGCACTGTGAGAGCTCGCTCACATTGCACGAGCTCACCCGTGCTGTGTGTGCTCACCCACACCGTGCAAGCTTACCCGTGTTGCGTGAGCTCACCCGCACTGTGCAAGCTCACCCACGTTGCACGAGCTCACTGTGATGTGTGTGCTCACCTGCACTGCCCAAGCTCACCCACATTGTGCAAGCTCACCCGCACTGCACGTGCTCACCCGCACTGTGCAAGCTCACCCGTGCTGCACACGCTCGCCTGCGCTGTGTGTGCTCACCTGCACTGCACGCCCTCACCCACACTGGATGCGCTCACCCGTGCTGCACGCGCTCACCTGCACTGCACACACTCACCCACACTGGACGCACTCACCCGCGCTGTGTGTGCTCACCTGCACTGCACGAGCGCGCCTGCACGGCATGAGCTTACCCGCACTGCGTGCTCACCCACACTGCATGCACTCACCCGCATTGCATGACCTCACCCGCACTGTGTGTGCTCACCTGAGTTGCACAAGCTCACCTGCACTGTGTGTGCTCATCCACACTGCACACACTCACCCGCACTGGACGCGGTCACCCGCACTGGACGCGCTCCCCCGCGCTGCGCGCTGGCCTCCCTTGGCGAGCTCACCGCAAGCAGCTCAGGAGGTGCCGCTGCAGGGGAAGCTGCAAGGTTTAACACGGAGCCCGGACCCCTTCCCCTGGGCTTGGGCAGCTCCGTGGGGCCGCGAGCGGCAGGGCAGGGCCCGGGAGCGCTGCCCGTGCAACCTCCCTCCTTGGGAGCTGGCTGAGAAGCAGCTGCTCAAGCAGGGAACTCCCTTAGTTTTATTGCATTTAATTTTTTGCACCAGGGCACATCCCCTCCCGTGGGACCCTCCCTCCCAGCTGCCTCCCAACAGGATCAGCAGAACTGGAGCAATTTGTTCTGGAGAGGAGGAATCCACCCAACCCGGGCACAACCTGCTGTCCTGCAGCAGGGGAGGATCCGGGCCAAGCTGCAGCCTCCCTCTGGAATCAGGGCAGTTTAGCACCTCGTTCCTGCAGGAGACGAGGGCCACGGAAACCTCTGTCTGGGACGGGTTGGGCCGCAGGCAGGACAAGGGACACAGGAATGCACAAAAGCCCAGGAAAAAGCAACACTGGAAGCCAGCTCTGGCCACGGACAGCGTGCGGCTCCGGAAGGCTCCCGAGACGCATCCCGACCAGGAGGCAGCCCCCGGAATAACCGGAGCGCGGCTGCCAGGCACGCTGCAACGGAGCAATCCGGCAAAATGGAATGTTTTATTTTATCTGTTTGAAGATACAACGGAGGTGGATGCTGTAAACAAAAGGAAAGCAAAACAAATCAATCAATACAGGGCTGGTTGCTATTTAAAAATAAATCAAGGATTGAAGCAGGAGGGTGAAAGACCCTCTGAGCGCACAGACAACCCCACAGGGCACCCAGGTGCAGTTTGATCGACTTCTTGGCAATGTGCTCAGAGCACAAGTCCATCTTGCAGCACTTTCATCCCATTCCACACACAGGATCCGAACGGGACACACGCACGGCACTAACAGCAGAGCCGATGCTCTTATTGCTCTCCATGGCTCTCATTAACCCTGGCACATGGTCCGGTCGATTGGCCCTGTCGTTCAATGGCAACAGTGGAGGGTTTGATGCAGCCCTCCAAGATCAGAGAGGCAATTACGTAAACTTTTAAGGTTAGGCTTTGGCTTAAACAACAGCGATGGCTGCAGCACGCTGGGGACGGTCACGGGGACTCGCACACCCCTGTCTCGGTCCTCGCGTGTCCCCAGGGGCGTTTGGCCACGTGTGGAATGTGCAAGGCCAGGCAGGAGGCGAGTGGCAACCGGCAGAGCCCGGTGCCTCCTCCGGACACCCCGATTCATTCCGGGGAATCCAAGCGCAGCAGCGGGACACGGGGCCGACACCGGCCCCGCAGAGCAGAGAGGCATCGGGGCAGATCTGCCACTTCTGCCTGTGCATCTGCGTGCTCCAACACACTGAAAAACCACTAAAAATGTTCTGTGCAGAACAGACCTACCAGGCTATGAACATGGAAACCAAGTACGCGTAAAGGAACAAAAACAGCCACTGGAATTCCCTGCCACCGGAGCAGTTCAGTGGGATAATGGGATGCAAGGCTGGAAAAGCGGCTGTTGTCAGCGAGCTCCCCCACAAACCCGGCCCCACGGGCGCCGTGCTCCACCTCTGCTGCAGCTCCCATCTACGTGTTCCTTTCAGGAGAAATGAGATCAGGAAAAGGTGCACTGAGCAACGGATTTGTACTTGAAGGAGGCTCAGATCTGTTATTAGCATTTTTTGTTTTCTCCTCGCACGAAATGCATTAACAATGATTTAGAACAAGCAGAAGTCCAACGGAGAAGGACTGTCAAGGTTTGGTCTACAAAGAGCTAACGCAGACTACAAATTCCTTCCAATATGCAGGATGGTTCAGAGCAAAAGGAAACAGCCACACGGGGCCATTGACTATGGCTCAAACCTGTCTCTAGCCACAACGAGGTCAGATTAAAGTGGCCACAGTTCTACATTACAGCCCCAAAATCATCATTTTATTCCCCAAAGGACGAAATTCGCTCCTTTAAACAGGTATGTGCTGCACAGCTATTGGGCTGGCACACTCTGGGGTAATCCAAGCCCTGCAAATTAATTAGCTTTTGCTTACTTAGTATTGGAATAGGGGGCTCATTACGAGTCCTAGCTATATCCGCATCTTTCCCTCCTCAAATTCTAAGCACCTACTACAGCAAAATCAAGTTCCATCTAAATTATTTTGTGACAAGAGCTACAGCTGGATGTCCCCTCTTTGAGCAAAATCATTCGACTGTTAATATTAAAAAACGTTCTTGGAATCACTCATTCCTGCAAGGTGAGGAAACTTAAAGATTGCAAAACCCAACCGTCCAATGGAGAGAAATGCCTAAAGAATAATAAAATAGATCAGCTCAGCTAAAGAAAAGCCAGTGAACCCGGTGGTCGAAATGCTGAGCCAGGGCACGTCAGTGGACTGAAATACAGTTACTTACCTGGCTTGTGTATGATGCTTTAAAGAAACTGGTTTGCAAAGGGAGTAGAAGAGCTAAGAAAAGGATCAGCACGTGCACGACCCGCACCTGCGAGGAGGCTGAATCACATAAACCAGCTCTCTGATCACCCCAAGGGCAGCAAAAGCCGGATTTAGCCACTGCTGCCGTCCTCACAGAGGAATGCAGCAAGCCTTTTCATCTCTGCATCAGCTAAACAAGCAGAAAGCATCTAGAGTAGGCATGAAAGGATGAAAATTATGTGAAATTAGGGCACGTTCAAGTGGTGTGTTCACATGACAACATTACTAAAAATATATATTTCCCAAAAAAAAAAAAATCTGCATGTGCACAAACCAAAGAGCTCACAGGACCTGGGGTGACATTTCTCCAGGAAACTCAGCAATGCTGCCCCTTGCAGGCATGAGCACCAGGAATGCAGCCCTGGGATTCCTGCCTCGGAGGGGTGAGGGATTTGGGAGCAGCAGCTACACCCTGGGCTCACAGAGGACCTGCTGTGAGCCCATTTGGAACACCCCTTCCACCTCGTGCTCTTTTGTTAAGCACCTGTTTTGTCCCCTTACCTAGAGAGGGTTAGTTAACAAAAACAAAAAAAAAGCAAAAAAGGAACCATCACTGCCAAATATGCCCAACCTTCACGTTAAAGAAGAGCAGCACAGCCTCCAAGCTGCACCTCTTCAGCAGGGAACTTCCTGGCCTGCAGGGAAACTTCCCTGGGGCTCCGTAACAAAGGCACGAGCTGGGGCTCGGGATGCAGGTCTGCAGCGCCCGCAGCTTCCCGGGAAGGGCTCTTCCATGGCTGGGATGTGCTGCAAACAGGAGCACTTTGCAAGATGTTTCTACCACCTTAGCAGTAGGTCCTAACAAGGACATTAGGAAAGAGATTTTCTGCACTCATTCACATTTGCTCCTACATTGTAAGAACCCAACTATCAACCCAAACCTCCAGCTACGGAACCTCCCACCTTGCTGGGCTGACACGAGACGCAATCCAAATACCAGCAGACAGAGCGAAACCCCGAGCCCCTTTTTGAAGAGATTATTTCTGAGCCAGGGATGTCTCAGTTTAAGAACCACAGCCCCTAAAGGTCTGGCAGCAAACCTTTCTCTGCTCCTCCTTTTCCAGATGACAGTTATTCACAGACAAGTCATTTGTCACAGCAGCAGCAGAGCTGGCCCGCTCGGAGCGCCGCAGCAGCCTGGCTTTTCCTGGGGTGACCTGGGACAGAGGCAGCAGCTCCGAAACCAGGTACAGGAGGCACCTCTCCAGCAAAGGGGCCACTGCAGCCACCCAGGGAAGAGCAGCCCCAACGCTCACAGCCCCAGGCTATGCAAACCCACACTCCCTCCAAGAAGGGGTCCCGTGGCCCACTGGCACCTTGCGCTTGTAAACATTTTTTTGGCTCTCCCAACCCACCTAGTGACCTGTATTATCATCGTGTGTAACTATTAGCCCTGTAACTACAAGAACTGGGACACATTTAACTCGCTGCTCCTTCCCCAAGCTGCTGTGTCTGCCTGAGCTAAGGCAGCACTACCCACAGCCCCTGCCAGGGTGACAGATACCAAGAGCCCTCCTCGCTCAACAGATGAGGAGGTGATTACAGAGACATTTACTAACGAGGTAACCTGATGCTGCACGAAGGAAACGGGATCTGCCTCCAGAAGGAATCCACTCGCCTGATACCTGAAGCTGACTGCAGCAGTCAGCAGAGAGGGAGATGAGCACATATAAAACACTGCTAGGATTCATGGGCCAGCAGACATAGCTGCAATACTTGAGTCCAGAGCCAGAAGTTTTGAAATGCTGAGTACTCGTCCAGGAGTGACGCTTCCATTAGCAAGCACCTCCCTGTGCAGTTACAACACTCAGCACAGCATCATTTACTTGCAACTCCACCTGCCCCAACAAAAGGTGCGAAGGAAATAGGTTTGGTCCCCTTCCCCCTGCCCCAGCTACAGAAGGTTTTGTGCTGTTTAGTAGTACCCATTATAAGCAATTAGAACAAATAAAACCCGAGGATCGGATCCGTAAGGTGATTCCCACTGGTGGACTTGCACCTCTTGGTCAGTCTATGCAGTTGAAGCCACCGGTTGACCCCAAATCATCTGGAAAACAGAAAAAAACAGAACACCATAATAAGCAGGGACAACCTGACGGGTCCTTGCAACTCGAATCCGCTGGGGGAGCTGAGAGGCCGGGCAGGGAGCTCTGCCCAGGGACATCTCTCTCCTTGGCCCTTAAAAAAAGACACCCCCAAAATTCAAACTTGTGTGACCCCCAGACTGACAGCACGTCACTGTGACAAATGCCAGTGTTTGCTCCAATGGAATCACAAGCTCCAGCTGCGATTCGACATGGGAGTTAATCCCCCACTCGATACACAGAAAAGTTTAGTTTTCCTCCCTATGGCGGAGAGCGAAGGAGGAAGAGGAAAGGGAGGGAGAGCCCCTTGGGATACGAGGGCTCCCTGTCTCTCCTGCCAACGTGTTAAACACCAGTAGCCTGTAACGTTGGGCATGTCCCTTTCCACGTGCTTGGTCAGAAACCAAAGGGAAATGAGATAAATTTGTGTGCTAATGCAGAAAGACAGCACACCGAAAAGCTGAATTCATGCAGATCCAGTTGTGAGATCCGTCCCAAAGCTTCCACATCTTTGGAAACCCATAGCATTTTGATGAAAAAAATTACAAAATGTCCATTTACCGCTTCAGATTCCTTGTCTCAAAGACTGTGTCTTCATCGCTGTCAAATGAAGCCATCTCTATGTTTTCATCGTAGTTTGAAAGAAGACCGTATTTCTTCCGCTGAGGTTTCTTCAACCTGAAATTAGTTTTGAGCTCGTTTCTGGGCCGCTCTGATCTAGAACTTGGGTACACAGAGATTGCAGGTAAGCGCTCGGTCACGGCCAGCAGCCCCAGCTCGCGGGGAGACGCAGCCGCGGGGCAAAACGAGCCGAGCCAAACTGGGGCCCTTCGGGCAACGGATAACGGGGGAATTTACCGGGGCGGCTCCCCAGGAGGAGAAACCACCAGGGCCAAAGAGGGAACCTGGGCCAAGGAGGGGGATCAGGGCAGGGAGCAGCCCACGGGCTGGGACGGGGGGATCCAAACTGAGAAAATGGGAACCAGGAGGGGCAGAACTGGACCGGGGGAGCAGCCTCCGGGCCAGGGAAGTGGATGGAAGGGAACCGAGCTGGGGTGAGGGGAGAAGAGTGAGGCCTGGGGGAACCAACCCTTGGGCCGGCCAGGGAAGGGCTGGGGAAAACGGGGGAGGGAAGGGGTGGGAAAACGGCGCTGGGGGAACCATCCCGGGGCCGGGGGAAGCTGCGGGGGGGA